TCTAGGCCCTTCCCTCACTTAGAAAAACGCTCATCTTTTATGGCTTCACCTTTTACTCTGAGCTCAAAATCCCTAACCCTCCCACCTCAGGCACCTGTTCTCCTCAGCCCCTGGCTCACGTTTCTAAGCCTTTCGTTCTTGTTCTCAACCCAACAGATTCCACGTCCAAGTCACCGAGAGGCAGGAGGCGGTGCAGGGGAGCAGGTGGGAGCACAGACACTGGTCAGGCGGACCCGAGAGAAAATCCCGCCTACACCACTTACTGCCTCTGTGGCTTGTGGCAAACGGCTTAACCTCCGGCCCTAGGTGTTCACCTGTGAAAGTGGTATATAAGGATAATGCTCCCTTTGCTGGAGTGTAATGAGAATTCCACAAGACGCGGAGGAGAGTGCACAATCAGCACTATTATCTTTCTCTCATACAGGACTACCTTCCTTCTAACCTCCTCCTTTGTGTGAGCAGAGCTAGCCCCGAAGTCTCAGGGCACCCCCACACCCTAGAGCCCCGCAGCATCCTCTTCAGGGTCTCTCAGGTGTCTTTTGTGTGCCTGCTGTCGCCCCGGGCTGGGACCCGTCTCCTTCAGTTCGTCTCTCCCGCCCCTTCCAGAGTCTGTGCTGCCCAGGGCCACCGGGGCTCCTCCGGAAGACTCTCCGCCCGGCAGCCCTCCTCTTTGCGGTCATCAACATCCCTGGGCTGAGCCCTCACTGGCCACCCTCAGCCAGGGCTTCTGCCTTGGCTCTGGCTTCCCTCCGGTGGAACCCTGGCCCCCTCCGTCTGTCATCACCTGGCACTGTACTAGGTGCCATGAAGCACACAGAAAAAAATAAGGCAGGGTTCCACCTCTCAAGGAAAAACCAGAAAAGTGTGTAAATACATAAAACAAGGTACAACGAGGCAAATGCCACAAGCAAGAGTTGTGGGTGCTTTAGAGGGGGTGGGAGACGGCGAGGCTCAAGTCTGGGAGCAGAAAGACTTGGGGGTCAAATCCCAGATAATCCCCCTTCTGCTATGTAGCAGACCCCTCTATTTTTATCATGCGCATCGCGTGTGTCACTGTCTGATGCTCACTTATTTGTCCGTTTATTGGAGCCCTCCTCCCCGGGGGAACATGAGCTTCGTGAAGCAGAGGCCTCGCCTATAGATGTTCAGCACCTAGACTGGGCCTGGCACAGGGCAGGAGCAGAACTGATACTCGGCGAATGCATGACTGACTACAGGAAATCTTTGTGGCCTACTCCCATCGTGCCTCGGGACATGGCTATGGAGGCTACAGCAGGCTGGGGGTTAAGGGCACAGAATCAGACAGCCTGGGTTCAAGTCCTGTCTCTGCTACTTATTAGCTGTGTAGTTTTGGGTCCAGTGACTCCTCCTTTCTGAGCCTCAGCTTCCTTTTCTGCAAAAATGGGGACGCGAACAGCACATTCCCTACAGGCTGTTGGGCACATTTTGTGAGATAATGTTCACGAAGTGCTCCAGCATGGGGCTGACACTCAGTCCACTGCTTGGACTTGATCATTGCCTCCTTGGGCACTCCTTACCATTTTGTTCAGACCTCTGTTAACACTCAGCACAGCGAGACCCATTTCATGCTTCAATATGTATGTTGGTTTCCCTGGGGGAAGGGCCTGGTGGGAGTCGATCTCCGTAGCATTGTTTCTTGACCAGGTGAGGACATCAGAATCAACTAGAGAGCTTTAAAAAATATATTCTAGGGGGCGCCTGGGCAGCTCAGTCAGTTAAGCATCCAACTTTGGCTCAGGTCATGATCTCACGGTTCATGAGTTCGAGGCCGTCAGCGCAGAGCCCGCTTGGGATCCTCTGTCTCCCTCTCTCCGCCCCTGCCCTGCTCGTGTGGGCACACACACAAGCTCTCTCCCTCAAAAATAAATAAACATTAAAAAAAGAGAGAGTTAAAAAAATATATATATTTGCTCTAGAGATCCTGATATAGTAGGTCTAGGGTAGGACACGGGTGTTAGCTTTTAATTTTCTATTTGATTAAAAATAAGTATTTCACTTTATTGGCATCTTAAAATGATAAAAGTAACATATGGTGGTTGTGAAAATTCAAAACACAGACATGAAACAAGCCAAGTCTGCAACCCACCGTCCCCAGCCCCAGCTGAAAGTGGGAACCACTGTCGGGTCAGTGTCTGGCTTTCCCATGTGATTCTGGGGTGAGCTCCCGACTGAGACCCACTGGGTTCCAGGCCTTTGGTCAAGATGGGGACTCAGGCCCAGCAACTAAGCCAGAGACCCAGATCTCATTACCAGGTGTGCCGTCCCCTCTAGAGGACACCTTTGCTTTGGGAAAGAGGCCAATGCTGGCTGCTGGAGCCGGGGCAGTAGGTCACGATAGGCCTGCTGGTAAAAGGAACTTGATGTTGACTTTCAGATGGCTGCTCTGGTGCTTCTTAAACATTTCCTCTCTTGACCTAGGGTTCTCTTAGCCCCTGAGATGGGGCTGAAAGCTGAAATGGGAATCGAATGGGCTTGGCTGAGAAGAGAAGAGGAGTGGAGGCAGGAAACTAGGCCAGAAAATCTACACTGTGCACAGAGCAGCAGTGTGAGTAACTTGAATGACCCAGAAATGCCCAGTGACTATGGGGAGGTCGGCCTCTCTCTGTCCTGCCTCCATAGCACCAGGGTCTGTGCCGCAGGAACATTCTGGGGAAAAGCTAGCCCTGGTCCTGCAGGCCGTTCCTGACTGGTTATGGGAAAACGCTTTGTTCATTACCTTGGTCATTTCCCTAGGGCTTATTTTTCCAATTAGACAGGAAATTCCTTGCAAAGGTGAGTCGCTGTGTCTGAGCACCCACGCCTGCTTAGCTACCACTCAGCTGCTGGGGATGTACCCGAAGATGGAACGTACACATTGACCCACTTAGATCGAGGGAAGGGCTTAAAAAAAAATTTTTTTTTTAAATTTTTTATTTTAGGGGAAAAACTCAGTGACTTAGTTTTTAAAAGCATATTGAAAAAAAGAGAACACTTTAGAATTATTCCTCCTTTCAGAAAAACAAAACACAGGAGTCACCCAAGAAAACTGCCTTTAATGTGATTTTTCCTCAGCCTTAAGAGGAATCTTAAGAGGAAAAAAAATCCACAAACACTCTAATGAATTATCAGGGTATTAAATATAAGTAAACAGTAATTGCCAGCAGAAAAAGCACATAAAGTCTTAGGAAACTAGTCGCTAGGAAAGGGACTGACTGTGCAGAGACCTACTGGGCCATGATTTTTCTACGTCCTTTAGCTGGTCACACAGGTTTTGAAAAGCAAGAAGGACAAGAACTTTTCAAGCCAAGTTGGGCCCTCCCTCCTCAGAAGCTGGAAAAGGCTACTGGTTCCCAGGTACTGGGATAGAGGGGCTGCTCTCCCGGCTCTAAATTAGGAAGAGTTTCAGGACAGACTCGTTCTACTAGGTCCATACTGGCATCATCTGGCAAGACTTAAAACGGATTGATTCCCACACACCACACACCCAGAAATTCTGATTTAATTGATTTGGGGTGGGGTCAGAGCACTGACCTTTTTATTTTATTTATTTATTTTTTAAATTGTTTTTATTTATTTTTGACAGAGAGAGAGACAGAGCATGAGCAGGGGAGGGGCAGAGAGAGAGGGAGACACAGAATCCGAAGCAGCCTCCAGGCTCCGAGCTGTCAGCCCAGAGCCTGACATGGGGCTCGAACTCACAGATCGTGAGATCATGACCTGAGCTGAAATCAAGAGTTATTAACCAACTGAGCCACCCAGGTGCCCCATGATTATTCTATTTCTTAAAATCTTGCTCTCATTTGGTGTTAAGTTTTCTTAATACCGTAATTAGCAATTTTTATGAATATTTGGGTAGTGCCCTAACGCAAGCTGTATTTTTTT